AAATAATAAAACCAACCATTGTTGTTAACCTGATATACAATATATTCTATATGTTATAATAACAGAAATCTGGTACTATTGTCTATATCATAATAAAAAAATCTAACACTATCATCTGTGTTATAATGAAAAAAGCAAAACATGTATTACTCGAATAATGATATATCTTAATCTAATTCAGGTATTTCTTTTTAAAGAAATTGACTAGAGAGTCAAATTCGATATCAATAATTTTTTAATTACTCATATAAAATTTTATATATCAGCTTAATGATTCTAAAGGATATACAAACTGTCTACCTATCTATATATTATAAAATATATATCATAACACCTTGGTCTGTATCATAAAATATATATCACAATACCTTAATCCATATTATAAAATTTGGATCATGACACCTTAATTCATATCATAAAATTTGGATCACAACACTTTAATTTGTGTCATAAAATTTGAATAATAACACATACTTAAGTGAAAATAATCTATATTAAGTGGGAACAACATAATGTATGTCATTTCTATTTAGTATAATAGTGATGACTTTAAGTTCTTATTACTATTATAGCTAGCTCCAGAGCCCTTAACAATTATTGTCAATAATGGATTCCTAAAGTATTTACCATATAAATTTTTGCAGATTACTTATAATATATCCCTTTTTGAGGAACAAAATTTATAGCTCTTTACTTTAATAGGGACAAAAGCTAAAAAATACTATAAATTAGTAATTTGAATAATAAATAACAATTGTAGAAGATTTTTTTATAGTTATTAATTTAAAAATGTTAATGTTTTTTAATAAGAAACATTTGACTTTTGTCCTTGTTTTTCTCTTTAGAAACATATCTTTAATTTTTTTTTTTTTTAATACTGGCTCAGCTTTACTTTATTTGGATTAAGTAGAAATGTACATATTGTTTATACTATGACTATCTATATTAATCAAATTAGTTTAATAAAGAAAACTCATTTCACAGCCTGTTGTCACCTTAGTAAGAGCTAACCAGCCAAGGCTGGACTAGTGCTGTATAAAATAATGAATATGTGGAAGGAGTGTGTAATGTTTTTATATATTTTCCTATATAATTATTTATCAGGTCTATATATTGATTTTTTATATATTTTTTAGATATATTGAGTTGTATGCTTTTCTGTAGATTACTATTCTGGTTGTTTTTTTGATTTTTCATGTAATACCTTGCAGTTTTTTTCATTTTTGGAATTCTTTGCATCTTTGAATCCAGATATTATAGAGATATTCACTAGTTTTTTATCTGATTTCTTTTATGAATTTATGTTTTTGTTGTTTGTTCAGTACACATTTGACATTAGGTTATATGTTTCTTTAGGTATGGCTTATTTGATAGTGTATTTAAAATATTTAGTGTACTTCAAGGAGTTGTTTTTTAGATAGTTATTGATTTGTACTTCTATGTTTTTTATCTTACTATATTGTCTAACTTTGTCGATAATTGTTTTTTTTATATGTTCTTCTGTTTTATATTGTTGGTCTCGACACATAAATGAATGTGTATTTGTCTCTTTGGATCTGCAGAATATGCATCTGTCATCTTTGTACAAATTTGATAGTCTCTGGTAAAGTTTTGCTTTTGTTGTGAGTTCTTCATTCTATAGGCATAAATTGAATTTTCTTTGTTGTTGATATATTCTGTTAGTATATTGTTCACTCATTTTAGTTAGTTGTAGATTTGTCAATATTATATGCCAATATATGTATTTGATGACCTGATCGCTGAATTCAATTCTTGTTCTATTCAACAGTCTCCATCTGGCTAGATGTGTTGCCTTAATCAGTTCTTTAACCATAATTTTAATGGGAACTTCGAGCATATTGTTGTTCATTGAGGTAGTAGCATGAATTGTGAATTTTTTGTAGAGTGGGTACTAATTGTTTTGTGTCTCAGTATCATACCTTAGTGTGTGTCTATTTTGGTTAGTTTGTCTACTTGTTCATTGTATTTGTTACCTGTGTAGTTCTTGACTTTAATGAAACTGATCTTCAAATGGTTGCCGGTAATTATATTTTTGAACAAGTGAAGAATTCCCAAGTTTTTCTGTTTTTACAAATTGTGTATGTGGTTTTTCCTTATTACTTTTTGAATACTGTTGATTGCTGCTTGGCTGTCTGTGTATATATTAACTCTGCTATATGAGGGGAGTGTACTGATTACTGTAAGTATAGCTATCAATTCTGCTCTAGTCAATAAGTAAAAGTTTTCTATCTGTCCTTGAAATTGAAATTCTTGATTATTCCTAGTTATTACTATCTATCCAAAGCCCATATAATATTGATTGCAGTGGTATGACATGGATTCATCTGTGTATATCTCAAAGCTGATTTCATTCTGTATTTGCTATGGAATTGTAGTTAGTTCTTCAAATATAAGAGGTGTTGCAGCCGATGTCTTTCTAATCTGTTTGATATCTTGTTCTCAATAGGTATTTATACTTTTACCATGTGATTTGTTGGTCTGTGTTCTTGTTCTATGAGCATTGTTGAAATTGTTTTCTTTCAGAATATTTGGTCATGTTGAGATTTTACTCCGTTGTACTGGAATTGTTACTGTATTCTGTTTGCTGGCTATAAAGGTACATGTGGAATTGAATTGAGTCTATTGATTTATATTGCATTCCATGCATTCATTTAGGGGGGATTCATCAGATATCTGTGTATAGTGCCTATAGATGGTTAAGTTATTATCTATCTTCCTTTGTTTTCTACCAATAATTAGTTATGTATTCTTTTTCATTGCTATCTAATGTGGTTTCGCTGTCTGTATATCTGTTGTTAATGTACATTATTGAAAACAATTGATTTGCCCTTGTTATTTATTAGTTATTCACATCTGCAATTTGTGTTATAGTATGAAGAACCATAATGGGATGGGGCCTGGTATTGATTTTTGATAAATTCTTATAATTTGGTATTAGTGTGGCAGTTTCTCTCTTTTACTATTGAGAAGTTGTCCTATTAAAAGAATGTTGTGTTTCTTTAAGTTGGATCGAATTCTTCTTTAGAATTCTGGATCTGCTATTTCTTCAATAGTGGTATCTACCATTTTTATGGTCTTGAAATTGTTTTCTTAACCTTTGTAGAAAGTGAAACCATATGTTCTGAGCATTCAGATTATGTAATATGTGAGATTTCTTCCTAGTTCTAGAAAAGAAGCTTGTATATGGTTGTATATTTCTTTAATTGATCAAAACATGTTTTGTATTGCTCGTAATTGATAATGTGTTATATCTTCTTTAATATTGTTTTGGTTCACTCTGATGCACCAGTTATTGACATGTAGTTCTACTTGTTTATTCCACATATGCATTATATTGTATTTATATTTGTTGTAAAGTATACTATTGGATACTGTGTTGGTGAGTCCTATTTTGTGTTTAAATGTTGTTGTCAGTTTGCTCATTAACTAATTACAAATTTATCTGATTAGAACTATATTATTGCATAAATATTCTATACTGGGCATCAAGATATGATTGATTATATATTGTGCTTGTTTGTCAATGATCCTTTTCATTTTAATTAATGTGCATATACAGGTTACCTTCTGTTTTATTAGGAATTTTTGATAATCTTTATGTCCTGAGCTGTCGTATTATATTTTTAGGATTCTAATCGGTATGTTGAGAGTATATCCTTGCATTTTTTAATTGTTCATAAGGGCTTCTTGTTCCAAGTCTTCCTTTATACTATTGATGATGATCAGCTGTAACTTGTTGGGGTTGATTTTGATGTTATTAATGTGGTAAAACTCTTTTGCTATATGGATAATTCATTGTAGATCTGTCTATATTGTATTATTTATATATGCATTGACTGTTATGTTAGTGATCCTCTTTTCCCATCCTGTCTTTAGTTCTGTGCATGTTCTAAAGCTAATTATGTATCCTTTGTGTTGTTGACTGATAATGGATAGTAGTGGGTTATAAAAAATGTACCACAATAATGGAGATATTGTATCTCCTTGATCTATTCCATTTCTTATCTAATACTTATCTGTTAATCCGTAGTATATTATAATTGCATAGTGATGATCTTGGAAGATATTAAGCAGAATTGTTATTATTGTATCTGATATCTTGATCCTTTGGAGGATCAATTGTAACATTTCTAAATTAACTGAGTCATATGCTTTTGATATATCTTGACTCAAGATCTAGGCTTGTTGTTTAGTTTCTTTTGCTTGTTTGATAATACTGCTGATTATATGAATTGGGTCTTAAGTACTACTACCTGAGAGAGTCACCCAGTTTAGTTCAACAGTATTCCATTGTGGATTAGACACTTGGCCAGTCTATCTATAATGGTTTTGATAAATATTTTTCTTTCTGTATCAAGTAAAGTGATAGATCTAGTAATATCTAGGTTGTGTGCCCAGTCCTTAAACTTGGGTATAGGATATACAGTATGTGTTTCTTGTTCCATTTCCTGAGTATAATGCCTTGTTGAATAATTGTATTAAATATCATTCTGAGTTCTTCTCTTGCTTTGTTTTTCAGATGTTTGTATACTGAATATGGTATCTGATTGAAGTCTGGAGCTGACTTCAAACTATATTGCCTAATTGCTTGTGCAAGTTTCTCTATTATGATTTCCTCTACCATACCTTTGTAGTGATGCTGCTTAATGTATGGTTTGGGACTATATTCGAACTGCCACTTGGGATATCATTCCAGGTTTTGGATATTTCTGTATGGTGTCCAGTTGTAAAAGTGTTCCTTTACTTTAGTCTTGATTTCTGCTGATTCCATAATTATTTGCACTTCCTTTCCTTGTTGAATGATGAGTCTGCTAATTGTATCTGCCTTCTGGGTCTTTCCAGAATACTATTGATTATGGCACACTTGTTATTGTCATACTGCTCTTGTCTTATCTGGATTCTTCTTTTTATGGCAATGTTCTGTTTTCTGCGAAAGATAGCCTTCGCAACTATTTTGTGTATCTTTATATTTCCTTGGATTACTTTACACTGTTCTTCAAGATAAGTATCAGGGTGTTCAGCTTCTAATTCATTGAGTGTGGATACCAGGTCTGAAACAGATCTTTGTATACTCACTGGAATCTGGAATGGCTAGTATGCTTTTTCTTCTTTTTATTTATCCATTGTTATCTTACTTGTGTAAGAAATTTTTGTAACTGTATTATAAGTAGTACTTCATCTATATCTTTGACTTGATATCTTTTTCTCCAATAGAGTTTCTTTTTTGAAATATATTTCTTAGCTGCTTTTTGAATAGTGTCACTGAACTGATTCCATCTGTAACCTAAGGATTGGTGATCGTGCATTCTGTTTGTATATTATACTCAATGTATTTAATGAACTTTTCCCATTGCTGGACCATGGCAAGTTACCAGTTATACCTGTGATTATGTTTGTGATAAATTGTTTGTTTGAGTGTATTAATATTCTATACTTCTATCTCTGCTATCATTATAATGTGATTACTAAGAATTGATAGTGTGGTAAGGTCTTGGATAGAGGCTGTTTTTGATTGCCATGTTGCTTGTGGGCTCATTCATATTTGATCAATTATACTGCTGCTTTCTCTTCTATTCCAGATGTATTCTCTTTTTGTGAAGTTGTGCATTCTATATACTGTATGCCTTCCAAGTTATTATTCAGAAGGACTTGTATTTGTTTTCCTGAAAGATGATGTTTTTTAATTGTCTTTGTACTGTTATACTTTTCGATTGCTAGATTTGGAACTCCATTCATGTCTCCTACTACCAAGAGATGCCATTCTTTTTCTGTCACTTCTTTGATTCATTTGATTAAAGTGTTGAGTACTATTTGTTTTTCTTCTTTCATGTCTTGTATAGGAAAGTATACTCCAATTATTCTTATTTTTTCTTTGTGTGGGTAGGTCAGGTCAGTTGCAATGAGTCTTCCTGCAAGTGTTTTGTAATTGTATATTCTGTATGCGATATCTTTATTAATCATTATATTTAGCTCTTGTCTGCTAGTTTGTACTTCTTTGTGTATCCATATAGTTTAGAATTTCTTATGCTTCCAATGTTTGGATTGTTGATGTGAGCCATTTGTCTCTGTAGTAACTATAATATTCGAGTCTGTTGCATTGCAAAAGTTGAACCATGTTTCATATTTGTGTGTTTCTACTAGACTTTGAATATTGAATACTGCAACTTTCTATATTGATTTATATTCTCTATATATTGTTATGTCTGTTGTTGTGCTAAGTATTATGTTATTTGTATCTGAATTGTTATTTGGGATTGTTATTGGATTGTTTGTTCCTTTTGTTTGTTTTTCTATTGAATTACATAAGTTTGTTGTTTGATTGTTTCTAGAGTTGCTTGATTCTTTTATTAATATAATGCTTTGATTGCTACCCATTATTGTTTATATGGAGGGGAGGGTGTGCTACCTAAAATAGAGTTGAGTACGATATTGTACATTTAATCCATATGTTTGTCAAGTTTCTGCATAGATGACTAAATTCATTATTGTTGGGTATGGATGTCTTGAGTGCTGTTTTGAAGTGGTATATCTATTACTGGACTTTCTTCTATATCAAGGGGAGAGGTGTCTTTATCTATTAGTTTGGTATAATCTTCATCATATGTTTTTAGACTAACTATATATTTCTTTAAATCGGTTATGTCTTCTTTTATCTCTTGAATTTCTTACTTGATTGTTTTGAGAATATAAAGTACTTCTGCTATGGTTGATTGAAGAGATTGATACTGTGTTTCATCTTCTTTGGATAATCTTGCCACTGCTACATACGAGCCTGATTTGACCTTTCTTTGATTGTTGTGTATGGTTGCTCTTCACCTTATGGTTTCAGTACGTGCTGGCCTAAACCTATTGTACAGTTTACCAAATCTGTTAGCTTGTTCTGTGTTATACTAATTCTAATATGTTCTTTTTTCTTTGATTGGACATTAAGTGACTAAGTGTGTTGCACTTTCACAGAAAGTACAAAGTTTTGTGTTAATTGGTTTCCATTTTGCTTGGGCTTCTCCAAGGAGAACATTATATATTGTTACTGCTTCCAGGTTTTCTTGATTCATAAAACCAATGATTGCAAACTACTTGCATCTATATGATATATGCCTAGAAATGTAGTATGTCTTAGCCCTAGTTTGTTTACAAATAAGTTTGAGATCGAAAGCTGTGGTATTGGGGGATAGATTTGTTAATTTGACTGCGATATTTCTACGTGCTTTTATTTGGTTCAAGTCCCATTGTGCATCAAAAATTCTGACTGAGTCTAAGCATAAAAGAATACTCCATTTGGCAACTAAGTCTTCTTTTACCTGTTTGTCTGCATAGGTGATGACTGTTGACTATCACATTTGCTGTATAGACATGTTGATATTTGTGATCTCTCCAAATTTGACAAAGGTCTGTTGCATTTCTATGAATTTTGTGTCTAGGGGAATATTCCAGACTCGGATACTGTTTTCTTTATTTGGTCTAGGGGATGTGAAAGCCATATGTTTGAGATGAGCCCTATTTGTTTCAAGTAAAATAATGTCACATGCTTCTTCTATAGTATGGTGATTACTGAAAATAGCAATGATGTAATCCTCTTTTCCTTTTCCTTCATTGTGGATAGAAAGAAGACCAGTGAGTATGTTCAAGCTCTTTGTGATATGTGCAATCTTTTGGTTGGTGGTTTTTCCTAGAACTTCTGATACTTTAATGCCTGTCTTGACTCTTTCTTTTCCAAATCTTGTTGTTGTATCAATCGGTAATCTTGGTTTGGATTTGTCTATGATGTGTTTCTATGCAAGACTTCATGTCACTACCCACTGGATCCAGATATTGTCTGGTTAATATTGCCTGATTTCTTAATTTCTATGTCTGAATTATCTATTCTTGCTATTGTGAATGAGACAGAAGAGTCCTTGCTTTGTTTGGTTTCTTGAATATTTCTAATTCTTTTACTATTATCAGATTGAGTATCTTGTGTGATCATTTCTTCCACTTTATCACTCTAACTTGGTTGTTTCTGATTAGTTTTCTTTTGATTGATGGTTTCTGTACCTGTGGTTGGAGTTTGGCTGGCATTTTGGTTCCTTGATTATTCATTCCTAGTATTTTATGTGAGGCTTTTTCTCTCTTTTTTCTTTATTTTTTGGATTTGACTTTGTTATCTCCATATGGGTTTCTTTGCATAGCAATCTTGTGTTACCTTTCACTAGGGTGTTCTCATTGCAGTTGGGTCTGTCCTAGATATATGGACTTCTTCAGTCTCTAGGAGAACTCATCTTTCTATTCAATTTTCTTCTTATTTCCCAAAATTGCCTAAAAGAGAAATTTTTAAGAAAAAAAGAATCTGCAGGAAAGAGTTTTTTTTTTTTTTTTTTTTGACATATTTTTAATTATTATATAATTTTATATTAAAGTACTTACTGTATAAGTGAACAAGTGAAAATAAAAAAAAAAATTAACAAAAATCTCAATGCTTAAGCAAGAAAAAGATTTTATTCAAAGAAACAGAAATAGAAACACTCTACTAGACTAATGGATATCAAGCCTTATTACTCTTTGTTGCAGGTTCTGATTTTTTAATTTTAACTCTAATTATGATTGAAATGGAATTTCTGAAGAACAACATTCTATCTCTTTCTTCAACTGATGAATTTCTTTATAAAGGTTAGCTTTGAACTACTTACAATAATATATTTACTTTTTTAAATACTTGATTTTTTCTTGGAATATAATAACAGTTGCTTATAAAAGATCTATTCTTCTTAAATAATAAGTTTTGTTTCTTAACAATTTAGATTTTTTACTATTTATTAGTTTATATAAAAAAAAATTATTATACTTATGCAAAAATCAATATAACTAAACTACTATTTAAAATCCAAGTTTGAAGAATTTTCTAATCAAAGCTTTTGAATTTATACAAGTAATCCCAATATCTTATAATCTTTTCCAATCCATTGATAATTAAGTCTTGCAAATATATAAATATATATAACATATTACCTATATAAAAAATAGAATTTTCTTTTTTATCTATGTATATTATCCAAAAGAATTATTAAAGGAAATTGTTAACTGATTACAACAATCCTATTTGAATAAATACTTGATTAAATATTATTTTACTATATTTTTATTTTTTTTATTTTAAAACTACTTCATCCCATGCCTTATCCATTGCTCTATTAAGAAAAAATCATATTTAGCAACAATCAGAATAAATACTTTCCTATACTGTCTGAGGATTTATAGATCACTAGAGAGAGAAATAGAATAAAGAGCTATCTATTTTTATGACTCAATCTATATCTAACCTAATCAGGATAAGGAAAATATATGACTGCCTAATGTAAATACTTCTTTTTTGAAAACAAAGTGAGAGACAGATGAGATATACAAGTTGTGCATTGCTTATTCATCCCCATATTCAGGAATCAACATTATCTAGAGTATACTAATGCATCCACCAATCAACTTGTTGCCACCCACTAATGGGGCCTAATATATCAGGACTTGCACAAGAGTCCCAACACTATCTGATGTTAAGGGTCGCTTATACTAGTCTTGCAACTAGTCAGTGTTAAAAAAAAAAAAATTAAAATGAAAGAAAAAGATTGAAAACATTTACAAGAAAATGAAATAAAGGATGTAATGAAGGGATATCTAATAACTACTCATCCACTCAACTTTACCTCTAAAGGTACTCAATCCATAGCCTTGATACTTTCAGAGTTAATGAAAGAGAGGAGATCACTGTTCATGTGATATTATCCATTTACACAACTAATCAGTGACTTATAATAAACCTAAGGTTTTTATGGAGCTTAGAAAATGCATTCATGTTCCATATCATATATATCCTTGATTATATTTCTGCTAACCATAAAGCAACCAATCCTAGACTTCAGCCAATCAATCTGTCCAGAATCTGGTATAACATAAAATTTAGAATCAAGCTAGGTAGACAAAATTCCCTCAAAAAAACCAGAAAACTACTATACACAGAGAGAGAAACCATTTTTGCCTGTAATATTGATATCTGCCTGCTGACTAGCATGAAATTGTTGATCCAAACTTCTTCCTGAACTCTGAAACCTCCATAAAAAAGAGAGTGAAAATATTTTTTCATATGGTTTTTTCTTTCTAGAAAAGCTTTTTTGCTATTAACTTCTTAGATATAGGGTTTGTGAAGTGGAAAGGTAAACAAGAAGGATAGTATGACTACTGCCAAGTAAAGCAGGTGTTTTTAGGGAAAGTTTTGAAGTTTTATTACTCTCAAAACATAAAGTTTTAAAGGAATGCTTCTTTGAAAATAGTGGTCAGAAATCTACAGAAAAGAGTTGATAATATTATTTCACTAGATATTATTATACTTATAATCTCACTCTTTCCGCTGATCTTCTGACCACACACAAAAAAGATGTTCGCAAGAAGTTTTATACTTCTATGCTAATAAAGTCTTACCACTCTTGTTAAACCAGTTCAAAGAGTTGTTTCTTATAACTCTCTCACCTTTCCCCTCTTTCTTGTTTACAATCTCCTTTGAATAAACTGGACTCTTGTGGCCTATAAAGTCCAGCTCCTACATTTACTACCCATGCCAAGAAAGTTTCTAAAAGAAGAAGAACTAATACTGAAATACTCCTTACCTTTCAGCTATGGTGGAGAGAATAGAGGTTTCTGTCTTCAATTAAAGGATTCATCTTTTTCCCCTTTGATTGTTGTTTCTGTGGCCTCTTAGAGCTATCTTTTTCATGGCTTTCTGGAGAATTTTGACTACCTCAGTTTGATCCTGAAATTTCGAGTAGCACAGATCTTACCAACTCTGATTGGCTAGTGCGAAACACGTTGGACAAGATTGATAAACAAGCTCCTATTAGCCACCTCACATGTCCAAATGCATTTCCTCAGCTCCATAAAAACCTGGGGTCTACCATAAGTTATTGTTCAGTTTACGGGTGGATATAGGACATGCTTTCTCCTACATCAGTCGAAATTCAGATGAAAGAGTCCATCTAACCATAAAAAAGGTTACAAGATACTTCAATCATTTTTGGCATTGAAGTTACCTACCCTTGGCAGCCAAGTAGGTTCTCGTAGCTCTGGCCGATAGGTAAAGATCTGCTTTCTTTTAAATAAAAACAAACAAGGTGGACAGGAAGTTTTTCCCAGCTAGTAGGTTTTTTGTTCCTGATCCATAGTTTGTAGGAGAATTACAAACTGAAGAACAACTCCAAGAATTTCAACACAACTCCCCCTCCAGCATGGCCTTCTATGGTCACTAGTGGTACCTACCAATCTTACTCCTAGTGAGAGTACTCGAATGGAAACATTTGCCAGATTGGTAAATCCCCTAAAGACTTAGCCTGACTTTCGAAGATTTGCAACTTCTTAAATAAGCAGCATATGCTTTAAGCTGGTACTATTTTTAGGATTAGGTCAACAACCCCTCCATAGGTTTCAAGGTATCCTCCTAATCATAGGTCCTGCCTGGTTCTTTGAATAAGTAATCCCCTAGGCAGAACATGATGTTCTAAAACCATTCCCTGCCCCTCTTAAAAAAGACAACCCCTTCCTCTCTCTCTTTCGAAGATTTAGACACCATACTTTAGTGAATAATTTGTAGATGTTGGCTCTTTTCACGATGAAATTCTCAGTGGATGGTCGGTAGAAGAGAAAATTTTTAGGTTATCACCTGGCAGCCCCTTTCTTTTTTTTTTAGTTACACTTCCTTGGTAACAACTATAAGGAATACATTCACTAGCTTGGCCCAGGCAAGTTAGTTCTCTATATGGGAGCAACAGATTACAGAGGTCCTCATAGGAGATCCAATTCGGGAGAAATCTTTGTATACAAATTATAACATACATGCTAGTATCATTACTAATTTGTAGTTAGCTCTAAAGTAGATAATACATATGTAATATCAAGTTTAAAGTTAATAAAAAGCCAACCAAAGGTTGAGCTGATTTAAAAAAAAAATATATATATATATATACTTATAATCATAATACTCTTTCCTGATAATTTGAGGCGCAGCAACCTCAGTAACAGGAAAATGGCTTCCAACACTAGAAACGCCAAAGTTTTGCAACTTGAACAACGGAGAATAGAAAAAAACCAATATGCAGAAAGAAGGAGCAAGGAAATCACTTTCCTCTGCAACCAACCATATGCCAAGAAGCCCAACACCACATAAACAAAAGTACTAGCAATCACGGCAGTGGAACCCACCCAAGAAAGCAAGGAAACAAATACTCAAGAGAACTCAGCAGCTGTAACATCAGATACAGCCAGTATGGACATAGAGGTGGAACCATCAGCAAAGAACAAACATGGAGCGAGCAGATGGAAGAAGCTGAAAATGAAACAGGAGACCCAGCAGTAAACCACACATCTCTGATAGGAAAAGGCTCAGACAAAGAAGGTCTACAGGGGAGAAAGAATAATCTAGCAACAGATGTCAACAACGAACACTCGAATAGACAGGCCTCCAGAGAAAGGGAAGAAGAATATTGAATATCTGTAATTCGTAGGAACAACACAATACATTCCAACAACAGGTCAAGATCAAGAACACCAATTAACCTGGAGGTCAGATATGGGAGAGAATATTTTAAAGTAGGCATTGATGCCAATGTCACCCCAGGGTTGAACAACAACGCAAAAATCCTTTACCTAACCAAAGCCCTCAACTCTTCGCCAGGGTTCATTGCAATCCACAGTGAATACAGCAAAAAGAGGACGTGAATCGTCATGACATTTGGCGATCAACAAGTGGCAGATGATGCAACGAGAATGGCATTATCTAATTTAGGTGACAATAAGCTCACACACATGCAGATCAGCAGACAATCGATCGAGAAAGGCAAATCCATAGTGGTCTGGGACATACCCCTAAACACAAAACTCCTGGAAGTGAGACAGCATTTCACCAAATTTGGCAATATATCGGGAATCAGTATGAAAACCCAAAATTTGTGA